AGCCGGACCCGCGCGTCTGCCACACGTCTCTCATGGAGCAGATCAAGCGCGGCGCCACGCTCCGCCGCAACAAGCACTGCAACGACCGCTCCGCGCCCAACATACGCTAGGAACGTAAGCTAGTACACAAAGTACACGACAAGGTACACCGTACTCTGTGTACTGTTTGTACTCAAGTACACTAATTACACACCCCGGTACACTGTACTATGTGTACTTAAATACACTAAGTACACAACCCGTTACACTGTACTATGTGTACTGCAGTACACTAAGTACACACCCCGGTACACTGTACTATGTGCACTCTGTGTACTCTGTACAAGAACTCGTACACTACACGTTCTTGTAACTTATAGATATTGGCAACTATGTCTGTTTGTAGTGTGCAGAATGTGTTTCATCCTTTACAGTCTGATTTTAATTAAACAATACTACGCATAAACGTTCTTGATCCTTTAGATGTCTTTACAGTCTGATTTTAATTACACTATACTAGGCATAAATGTTCTCGATCCCTTACGTATTGAATAACTATACTACGCATAAATGTTTTTGATCCCACTATACCACGCTTAAATGTTCTTGATCCCATAATTAAATTAAATAATCGATGAATAACTATACTACACATAAATCCTATATTAGTTTGTCTGAAATGTCAGACATGATTCCTTAAATATGTAAATTATTAGGTGGCATAAACATTCTTGAGTCTAATAATAATTTTAATTACTTATATTTGTCAAATAGTTTTATGTACGAAAATTTAAGAATGTTTGTCAAGGTAATTATTTTATTATAAAGTAACCGTTGGGAGATTTAATTTCGAATATTTCACGATAGTATGACTTAATAGTTTTTTTTGTACTATTGCTGTCCCTTTCGTGTAATTATAAGAATTAGATGACTGTAAAACTTTTGATTATAAATGTTAGAATTAAGGCTCGATACTGACTCGTTGAACTACGTTAATAAAAACAAAGAGATTCAAAAATATATAGAGAAGGCATAGACAATTGAGATATTTTTCACGTCCAACATTTTGTAACTGTCTACCTTATTTTAATTTTGTAAAAACAATAAATGAAAGGGGAAAATTTACGAAACCGTAAGACCTGTCAAGATGTATGGATCGGAATGTTGGGCAGTAAAAGAAACGAATGAAAGTGGAATACATGTGAAAGAAATGCGAATGTTAAGATGGATGTGTGGGGTAACACAAATGGATAAGATACGAAATGAGTATATTAGAGGAAGTTTGAGAGTAGCCCCAGTGGTAGAGAAGGTAAGGAGTAAAAGGTTAGCATGGTATGGGCATGTTATGAGGAGGGATGAATCGCATGTTACAAGGAGAACGTTAGTTATGAGTGTGGAAGGGTACATCGGTAGAGGTAGACCTAGAAAGAGATGGATGGATTGTGTACGGGAGTAGGATAAGGCAGGGGAGAGACGAGATTGCACTACACTTGACAACTGATATATTACCTGTCAGAGATATTACCTGTCAGAGATATTACCTGTCAGAGATATTACCGGTAAAAATTTTTTCTTCACTATATATTTTTTAAACGTCTTTCGTTTTAAATAAATTTTATCAGAATTCTATAACCGTGACATTTGTGTTAATTCTTTTTCATTTACTTTGAAAATGAATGCTCTATGAGTCAGTAAATGTCACAATAGAAATCTAAAATAAAAAGCCAACATATCTCAATATCTAAGAGAGTTTTGTTATGAATTGTATTGGAGTTTTGAGAATTTGTATGTACGTAGTAACTTGACATATCTATTTTTATATTAAAATAAAAAAAAGACTTCAAAAAGCCATTAAAATCTCGCTTAAGTGACTTCGCCATTTTAATATATATTCGCATTGAGCAATAAGTAGTATCAAAACTTGTTAGTCTAGCTATAAGAATTTAACCACTGCAGGACAGATTGAAAAAATACTTTTTTACATTAATTTTATTTTTAATGATCATTTTAGTGTTATATGTGTTAAAAAAAACTTTAATCCGACGAAATTATTTGGCCCGGTTATAATGAAGTGAGGATGCTAAATTAAAAATACTTATTAACTGTCAGTGTCAATAATTTGACAAGTGTCAAGTGTCAAGATTTTTCTGTCTTGACAGTTACTGTTACGTTTTCGAAAGATGTAACCGCAAGTGGCCGGGCCAGATGAGTTTGTCGCACTACATGTTTAAGAAACAAAAATGTTTTAAAAACCTGAATATGGAATTTGTATGTATTTTTAGTACAATTTTAGCTCAGACTTGAAATGAAATATTAACAGACATTTTAACAGATCGACGCCATTTTGATATTGTTAACAAGATGGCGTCTTTCCCTTGTTTTTATCGAATATAAATGCGATATGCTTATATACAGATTTAGGTAGTTAAATGGATTTATAATAATTTATTGCCCTTGCCGTTTATAGATAAATAAACCAATAGTTGTTCCTTTTTAATATTTTTGTAATGGCGGATTTGACAGCTTTCTATGATAGTTTCGTACTGATGTTAGTGGTTATCGGTTTAGTGTTTACTAGGATTAGTGTTTACATATCTAAAGATTTATCAACTTAGTAAATATTGTCCGCAGCTGAATGGCAGTGTAAGCCCATCTTAAATGTATTTTCTTTGTCGATATTCAAGTAAAAATATGAAATATATAATAATAGATGTTGTGGAACATGTTTATGATATGTTAAGGTTTGCTATGTATTTGTAAGTTGGTGAAAATAAATAAATATAACCTATAAAGTGTTTTTATTTAATAATGACGTCACATCCCTTTTATTCATCTATATTGTAAAGAGGAAAGATTTGTATTTTTGTATATATTGAAATAACTCAAAAACTACTGGGCCGATTTTAAAAATTCTTTCACAATCAGAAAGGCAATTTATCTGTGAGTAACATAAGCTATATATTATTATTAAGAATCTTTAGGAACTATTAATAAACAGCTTTTTCTGGACGACGGCGTTAAAAATTCTTTAAACAAATAAGAAAGTAAATGAACTTTGGTGTATGTTTTACCAACTTCAGAGCGTGATAGCCCGCAACTGCTCCATTGGGTAGGATAACTAATGGCCATTCAGTTACATCACAAATGGTATCTAATCATTAAACGATAAAGTTTTTGAATTTAAGTGTCATCCTCTGGGTTCTCAATCTACAAGTGGCGTTCTTTTCAAATGATGGCGCCGTGCAATAGGCAATATGCATATGACGCCAAATTGCACCAAACTTTATTTGGGTATATTTTATTACTGTAAAAACATTCCTGCAAAGATTTTTTTAATGTAATGTGATTTAGTGGCAAAATTTAATCAATAAAAAGTGTCATTTCAAATTCCCTCGCTAAGTTCTAAAACGCACACTATTGGTCGAAGCAAGTGGCTTATCTAATATGGCGTCGCTGTGTTGACAATACACAGTTCAATACTAAAATGCATTATTGATATCTGAGACACTTTTATAAAGAAAGCGAGACTCGGAAGTTTATTGTATTTTATATTTTTTTGTGGGATATTTTTGAGCGGGAAAATGTTTAGTTAAATGAAAACCATAAATAATTTCTTACTTTTAATTCTATTCAAAAATGTATAGAAACGAAACAACAATCGTCATGAATCAGTCTTCTTGCAGATATTTAGCAATTCCGCTACGATCTTAAAAACATTACTTAATAATAATTGTCATTATTAAATATTTTACAATTGAAAAAAAAAACAATAAAATGTAGGGAAAAACAGAATGATGCGTTAACATTTACAATTTAATAATTTAAAAACCTTATTTTATATTCTGGCAGAACATTAACCCTTGATTCGAAAGTGTTGTGACGAACAGCTAATTTAAAAAATCTACTGAACTAGTAAAGAGAAAAATACGTGAGATTTTGATTTTAGTGTGTTGGTAACATATTTTTTTTGCTACAAACTCCGTCGAATTAAGGGTTAAAGAAATTAGAAACATTTTGGTTGAAATTTGAAAATCCTTATATTTAATTAAAGTACGGTTTTTACAAATTTTAAATAAAATAAGATTTTAATTCCTATAATTGTAATAAATAAATATTAAAATCCTTACATAAGCAGCTATTTACAATAGCATAAGGATAACAATACGGTTATTTTTATCTATAAAATATAATTACAAAATTGTTTGTAACTGAATCGGTCATTACATTACATTTTAATACTTGTATGTTTCGATTAAATAAGTTTGATACAGAACTAGATACTGGTTGCTTAGAAAAAATGTCGAAACTTCTCATTTTCAAAACATTTTTACTCATGGTAAAAAAAAATCATATTAAAAATAACGTTAAAGAAGTTACAATGTAAAATTAAGGATACATTATGAGGCAGTGATTTTCTTAACTTGCTCTTTATAGTGTTGTTTCCAGAACAAACATTTGTCTTGCTTAATTAGGCAGTCAAATAACAGTAATAAAACTGTTTAATCGCTTTATTTAAAACAGTCGAATTATGTTATAGTTAAAAGTAAGTCTTAGTTCGCACGGGCGTTTTTAAAACGCGCGTTAAAATAGCGTTGAAAAAAGTAATTAAACAAGATTTACATAATAAAATTTCCTTTAAAGGTAAAACGCTCAAAAGCCGCTAGTGACCCAGTAATTGATAGTTTTAAATCTGATGCCTTATTATAAGATCTTCGATATTAAGATATCGGATGATTTACGGCGAGCGCCTACCACCGTATCCTACTAATACTTGATTATTTATATGTGAATTTTAAATACGAAAAACAGATATACTATATTGAGGTAAGATACGGTGGTAGGCGCTCGTTGTAAATCATTTATCTTACGCGTTTTGTTAAGCGACCGTATGACTTAGAGTAGATTTAGAATTAGAATTAGTCCATTCAAACCGGAAAACATTACTTCTAGAGAAGGAAAAGAAGCGTTTAACAGTCGAGATGTGTCGTTTTCAGTTATTTTATTGTAAATGTGTAAATACGTTTCAAATAAAGGTTGTTTTGTAGTTTGGTGTAATGTAAAAGTTTATTTGTATTTTTAACTGCCGCGCTGTCGGTAACAAGTTAAACAGCGTTTATACACAATAATAGCGTGCTGTGTTCGGCCGTGAGTTTGGAAAATCCCAGTGCCAGTGGTAACACTGTCTAATCGAGACACGAAAGTAATGTCAAAATGGCTCAGAAAAAAGGAAAAAAAAAATTGTACAAGAGGAAATGCTTTTAACGAAATAAAAATGGCACATCTGCATCTGCTGCCGCTAATTGCCTCTAGTCCAATGGGCGTAAGAAGCCCATTTAAAAGAGCGGTTTTTTTGGCCCTAAGAAAAAGTAAATCACGGGAAAAAGACAAAAAAGAGGAAATATAATATAATAAATAGAGGAAAAGAGGAAATTATAACATCACAACAATGGTAAGAATATTATGAAATCAAAGAAAGAAAAAAAGGTTGACCTGTTACTGTTCAGAAACAACCAATGTTGTCGGCGCTGCAGCCGAAGAAAGAAATATGAAAAAATAGAAAAAAAAAACAGTTAAATAAGGCAATAAAGAGGAAATTGTATAGAAGAAAAATACGCCCGTCTGGGGAAAAATAGGCGAGGAAGACATTGTTCCATTTTAACTCCGATTTTAAAACAGAAGACTGGAAATCTTCATGTGGAAATATTGTAACAGCAACGATAAACTCGCTTAAAATTCGATATTTTTTAACTACTTTGATAAACATTTTTTCATATTCGATAAAAGTCGTATCATAAGAATTAATCTTAAATTAATAAATCAACATTCAAAGCTTAGAAAAACGTTAACGAGATAAATAACGATAATGAATCGAGGAAAATTGCTAGAAGAGCAGTTGCGGTGGCAAACACTGCAGTACAAAACAAATTATACCAGGAATTAGACAGCGCAGGGACAAAAAGATCTTTACAGACTAGCAAAACCAGAGAGAAGAATGCAAGAGAAATTACTGCACGTAAAATGATGAACATATCAGAGAACAATAGAAATTATATTTCAAAAACCTAACGAATGATTGGAACGATGTCGTACCGAGAACACCGGTCAATATCACGTTGGTAAATGAGATCAGTATGGTTGAGGTTAGAATAACAGTGCGAGATATGAAGAATGGTAAAACGGTGGAGCCTGAGTGCATACCCGTTGAAGTATGCAAGGCTTTAAAATAAGATGGATTAATATGGCTAAATTTCTTCGAAAACTTATTGCAGGAGTTGAATCCCTGATGGTGCATCAGTACGCTAGTACCTATTTTTAAGAACAAAGGTGTTGTACAAAATTGCAACAACTAACAAGTAATACAACTCATGTCACATACTATGAAAACTTGGGAGAAGATAATAAATAGAAGAATAAGAGAAGAGAGTTAAGTATCACAGAACCAATTCGGGTTTATGCTAGGTCGAGGAACAACGGATGCCATATTACGCGTTACGCCAGCTTTGTGAAAAGTACAGAAATGTCCATAAGAACTTGCATATGGTGTTCGTTTACCTTAAAAAGGCATACGAACGAGTCGCCCGTAAGGTTCTCTAGTGGACGATGAAAAAAAGATAAGTGCTTGGGAAATACATAAGACTCGTGAGTATTATGTATGAAAGTGCGAACACCCACGTCAGGTCCGAAGCCGGTGTAACCGACAAGTTCAGTGTGGCTGTGGGTCTGCACAAGGGATCGGCTTTAGGCCCTTATTTGTTCCTACTAGTTATTGATGCCTTAACTTTGGGGTCCAGGAGGAAGCTCCCTGGTCAATGCTGTTCTCCAACGGCATTGTCCTTATTGGGAAAGATGGGCTTGAGGTGCAGAGTAGAATAGAGAGATATCGGGATAAACTGGGGACAGCCGGACTTAAGATAAGCAGATCGAAAACAGAGCAATTATTCTGCGACTTCGGAGGCTTATGCAGTTTTATGCCAATTGCCTTAAATGGCATTAGGCTCCTAGTTTGCTTCGACTTTCGGTACCTCGACTCATTAATCCAAAGCGACGGAAATATTGACCGTGAGGTCGCGAATAGAATAAAAAGCGAGATGAGTGAAATATAGACAGGTCACAGGGGTAATATGGTAATAGTCCCAATGATAGAGAAATTAAGAAGTAAAAGGTTAGCATGGTATGGGTATGTCATGAGGAGGGATGAATCGCATGTCACAAGCATATTAGTTATGAGTGAGATACACGGTAGAGGTTGACATAGAAATACATGGATTGCCTGAAATGTGACATGATCAAGAAGGGAGAGGTGACAGAGATGACGTATGATAGTTATTTAGAGAACGAAAATAATTGTGCTTTTCACTAAACTATCAATTACTGGTACATGTACCTTATCTTTTTATACAGAAACACTTAAAGCGCGTCAAAACAAGAGCGATTTATAAACGTTGATAGAAAGCGTTAAAAAAACGCCCGTGCGAATGAATACTTAAAGACTGTTTAAAACTTTTTACATTTCACAGAAATAATCTAATAACATGCTTAATTTTATTATTTCACATGAAATAAATTCGTTAAACCTTAAATATATAAATCTTTGGCACAGAGACTATAATAATTAAAAATAAACTAACAAATCATAAGCATTTCTTGCTTGCGATGGTCCTCGTAGTAATTGTAATGAAAGTTTCTGTTTAGTTATCTGTGATGTGGTGTTCTGCAGATTTCTGAAAAAAAGTGAGAAAAAAACACAAATTTATTTATTAGTCCTTTATGCTTCTTAACCCATTATAATTTAACGAGAACCGTAACCATTCCCGGGATAAAAAGTAGCCTATGTGTTCTTCCAGACTATGCTCTAAACCTGTGCCAAATTTCATAGAGATCCGTTCAGCCGTTTAGGCTACAAACGCTAACAAACATCCATCCATCCATCTAAACTTTCGCATTTATAATATTAGTAAGAAATAAGATTACACAATTTTTAAGTCATTGCTTCTAAAAATATTATGCACTATTTGAAAGCTAAATTAAGAATAAGAGAATAATTTAAAAGTAAAATACAAAATAAGTAAAATCATAAAGACTTTTTGTATTATTCGTGTGTAGGTTTCCTTAGTTGCGTGACGCCATGAACCATCGGCAAACCTATCAAAAATGCGAAAGTTTGGATGGATGGATGTTTAAACTTGGCAGATGTAGCGGATTGTCTGGAACACAGACTAACCATTTTTTTAACACCACGCGGACGGAATCGCGGGCGAAAGCTAGTATAAAATAACTTTAGTACTAAAAATAACTTACTTCTCGGCATACTTTTCATTGTAGATTTTGATATGCTGTCGCTGTCTTCTGATTCTGAACACAATTGAAAACTCGTTTCTGTAAACAAAGTATAATTTTTAGAGACATGTTTCATGTGGTGGTGGTGATGATGATGATGATGATGACGATGGTGGTGGTGGTGATGACGATGGTGGTG